AATATACAAAAATCAGGCTTTTATATGTTGAGGTAGTTTTCTTCTATTCTTATTTTGTTCAGTGTTTTTATCATGAAAAGGAACTGAATTTTGTTGAATGCTTTTTCTGCATCAACTGAGGTGATGAGGTGGTTTTCTTCCTTTATTTTGTTGTGTAGCATATTATGGTGATCAATTTTCATGTGTTGAACCATCTTTGGATTCTAGGGACACATACACACAGCTGCCTGCCATGAGGTTGGGGTGGGGGGATGGGTAGATGCTCTGGAGCTAAGAGCCGAAATTAACCACAATTTAACAGTTAAAGCTTTCCTCCCCTGGAAGTTGTAAGCCTTCAACTGACTCCAGAGTTCCAAAACAGTTATGTCAGATAATTTCTGCCCATGCAACTGATGTCTAGGTGGGGGGACAGATTCTTGGTGCTTCCTACTCTGCCATTTCTCAGAATTCCTCCATAGATAATCTGTTTGAAATAACACATTAAAATGTGCATGGTAATCAGAGAAATTTGATCAATGAATGGTTATTTGATGATATTAAGGAAGTATTCTTACTATGCTTAGGTGTGATAATAGCATGTGATTATTTTTTGAAAAAGTATCTTTTAGATACTTTGTCTTTTAGAAACTCATTCTGAAATATTTACAACTAAAATGATAAAATATCTGGGGTTTGCTTCAAAATGATCCCAGAGATGGTAAGGAGTGATGCCAGTATAGAAGAAACAAAACTGACCATGAACTGATAATTATTAAAGCTGGATAATGGGTATGGATAATGGGTACAAAGGGATTCACTAGTCTCTCACTTTTATATATGTTGAAATTTTCCATAATAAAAGTGTTTTTTTGTTTTGTTTCGTATCTTGTACCTTTTTTACTTAGATCTCTGGCCCTTAATAAAAGCTTTTTAAAAAGGAGTAATAAAAAAGCCTGTAGCAAAAATTAGTGTAATACAGACAGGTGGATTAGTAAAAAGATCCAAATAATGAGACAGAAATATAAACATCAAAACAAAACTTTGTAGGAATTGAAAAAAAAAATCATGTGTGTGTATGTGTATTTGAAGATAACTAATTCAAACATATTCTGAGAATGTTACTCAACTTTAAGCTTTCTGAGGGCAGACAACATACCATATCTGTTCATTCATCACTAAATCCTTAGCAATGTATCTAACGTCCAGTACATCCAAACACTTGTTGAATACACAAACAACTCAGTCAGACCTATGCTCTCACATGCAAGGGCTCTGTAAAATCTAAGAATTCAAAGTTTTTAATAATGCTTAGAAAACTACCTTTAATAAATTTTCTTTTTTTTTCTTCTTTTTAAAAATGTTTGTGCGGGGGGGGAGTAAGAGCACACGTGCAAGCGAGGGGCAGAGAGGAGGACAAAGGATCCTAAGCAAGCTCTATGTTGACAGCAGTGAGCCTGATTCGGGGCTTGAACTCACAAACCAGAGATCATGATCTGAGCTGAAATCCAATGCTTAATCCAACTGAGCCACCTAGGTGCCCCTCTTTCTTTCCTTCTTTGTCCTTAGGCAACTTCTAGTATAGCAAACCCCTCTTTAATTTTATGAAAGCTACCCTGGACACTGTATCTACTTACCACTTCTTGTTCTTTCCTCACTAAACCTATTTATATTTTTGTTCTTGGGAAAGATATTCTCTTTCTTAGTATACTCTTAAGTTGTTGTTCTGAGAAACTGTCTACTTTTCCCTATTTGACCTCTTAAAATAATAACTTCTTTCAAATGGGGAAGGTTCCTGGAAGTTTCTCCCTACTCCAGTTGTTTTAAATATTTAATTAACAATCTTAATACAGCTAAGCTAATGACTTTTCCTAATGAGTTACAAGTACTACTTTTGCCTTTACTTTTGGTTGTCATCCCTGTTGGGCAGAAATAAATGCTGTCTGATTCACTCAGTAGAACACACTCCACAACTCTGGGAACACCTGATGATGGGTTTGATCTCATTCATGGTCAGTACACTAGCAGAGAAATGGAAGTTTATAGTTATATTCTGGCCTTAAATCTATTTTGTCCTGTCAGAGAAAAATGTGTCTACATCCTGTATTGGAGGTAGGTTTGCCCACAGTCTGAAAAACATTTCAATAGCTTCAATAATGCATTCCTAGTGTGACCTGGCCACTTTCCATTTCATAGACCATCTACAGTTGCTGGCATCCAGGCAGGAAAAGAGAAATTGCTATTTCTCCAGTCAGTCTGTTATTTTTGAATGGAAAAAACAAACCTCTATCTTCCTTTAAAAAGTAAAATCGTTGTTGGGAATGCAAGCTAGTGCAGCCACTCTGGAAAACAATGTGGAGGTTCCTCAAAAAACTAAAAATAGAGCTACCCTACGACCCAGCAATTGCACTACTAGGCATTTATGCAAGGGATACAGGTGTGCTGTTTTGAAGGGACACATGCACCCCCATGTTTATAGCAGCACCATCAACAATGGCCAAAGTTTGGAAAGAGTCCAAATGTCCATCGATGGATGAACAGATAAATAAGATGTGACATATATACACAACGGAGTATTACTTGGCAATCAAAAAGAATGAAATCTTGCCATTTGTAACTATGTGGATGGAACTAGAGGGTATTATGCTAGGTTAAATTAGTCAGAGAAAGACAAAAATAATATGACTTCACTCATATGAGGACTTTAAGAGACAAAACAGATAAACATAAGGGAAGGGGAAAAAATAATATAAAAACAGGGAGGGGGACGAAACAGAAGAGAGAGACTCATAAATATGGAGAACAAACTGAGGGTTACTGGAGGGGTTGTGGGAGGGGTGATGGGCTAAATGGGTAAGGGGCACTAAGGAATCTACTCCTGAAATCATTGTTGCACTAGATGCTAACTAATGTGGATGTAAATTTTAAAAAATAAAAAAAAACATATAGGACTTAAAATTTATTAAATTAAATGGAAAAAAATAACAAAGGGACTGTATGGCAAGAGAAGGGAAAGTTAGTGAACTTAAAGAGAATGAAGAAAAATAGTGCCCACTATAGTGAGGGTTCAGTTAGGGAAGCAGAACCACTGTGAGTAATAGAAAACAGGATATTTGTTTTCACAGTAAAACTAAACAAGTATGGGACACACTGGGCAAGTAAGGATCAGAATGGATAAGGTAGAGAATTAAGAAAAACAACAACAAAAAACCTCCTCTCTGCAGCACTGGCATAAGTGGACACATCAGAACTTGCCAGAGAATCTCAGAAACCCAGCCCTGGCTAACTGCCAGAATGAATCAGTGAAGGTGCATTGTGAAGTCTGTAGCAGGGTGAAGTCTGTAGAGGTGCTGTTTCTGAGTCTGGGTGGGCCTGAGGTCACTGTTGGTCAACAGGGCCAGGAAGTCAACAGAAAAAACTGTGAATATAGAGTGGGGTAAAGTGTGGCCAATGTTGACTCTGCTTCTCCAAGGGTTGCTGCTTCTGTTTCTCACAATTTATAGCCACAACAACCAACTGAGATGATGGCTTTGGCTTCCTTTCTGCCTCCCAAATCTTGTACAAATCCTTCTTTTGGTCAGCTACAACTAGGAAGCACACAGAGAGGCGTGCATGAGAAGTGTATTTCTAGTTAAGCCAAGTTTACACAGTGAAAAAATACCATAATAAGCATGACAGAGAAAAAGATGGAAAATACAAAAAAAAAAATGTAGAGGACATTTAAATTGAAGACTCATAAAGGAGAGAAGAGAAAGATTGGGTCAGAGGTAATATTTGAAAAGATTCTGATACCTTACAAAAACGTACAATGACACAAATCCATCATACCAGGAGTTATAAGTAATTTTAAGGAAAAAAAATTAAATACATTCACAAGTTGGAACATCATAAAGAAATTGTAGCTCATCAAAAGCATGATGAAAAGCCTTATCTTTTTAATAGCACAAAAGAAAATATTGAATTGAAAGGTGACTTTTCAATGGCATCAATAAACACCAGAAAATGGTGAAATCATATTCTGAACATGCTGAAAGGAGAAAAAGAACACAATAGAAAAACAACAACGAAACTCTCAGTATCGAATTGTGTATGTCTTAAAAATACCCCTTGGGAATGACGATGCAGTGAAATACTTTTCAGACAAATAAAAGAGTAGCTGATCTTACTTTTAATGGCAATTGGAGCTATATACATAGTTTGTTAATATCTTGTGTTATTAAATTTTTTCTTAAAAAATAACAAAAAAATAAAATAGTTGTTCTCCGTTTTCACATCTTTTACTTTTCTATGAAAAAAAGGAAAACTATTAACTTACCAATTTCCAGTAAAAGTCCTATTCACAACATAAACCAACAATGCCTCCAAACAAACAAAAATCTTTTACTATTTCTACTTTTTATACGTTTTATTTAGACTCCACTGAAAATGGGCCCAATATTGCTTAAATTGTCAACTTTGGATCTAGGTGGAATAAAAAAACATTCTGAACCATAAGACCAATAATTTCAAGTTAAACTGGCAAATGCCTTTTGCCACAGCTATGTGCCCTCACTAGCAGCTCTCACCACCACAGCTGCCAACTTCCAACTGTTCCAAACAAATTAAGAAACTAAAGTATCGTCATCTTTTTCATTGTGTTTGTTTAATATGAGCTGAGGAGAATTTAATATGAGCTGATTGGAAGCCACAAAGTAAATTCTAATAATGGTAATGAAAATAAAATCTCTAGACTTAAAAGTCTAGAAAAATGACATATTATGGCAAAATGTGGACTTATAATGAAAATATCAGCAATATGTTTTTACAGTGAGCATGTGTTTTATATCAGAAACTAGAAAAATATTTAAAAAACCAGCACTTCCTCTATTTGTTATGATTTATATAGCACACTAGTAAAGACCAGGACAAAATGGTATTTAAAACAAGCCAATATTACATGTTCACTTTACGATAAAGAATGTTTTACATAAACATATAGAAACCTAAGACGTGAAGAGAACTACTTGGTCCATTTTACTTGTTAGGATGTCCTTGGAACCACAGTAGAGGGGACAGCCATCTTGCCAGCGCAACCCAATGAAAAGCCCCTAGTAGTGTGCCAGAACGAATTGGATTTCAACCAATCACCGAGCGACGGCACGACCTGGCTGAAAAAGGCCCACCCAGACCTAAACCCGGAACTGCTGCAGCTTAAAAACCCCATCCCCACCACACCTGGGGGCGACTTCCCTGACTCCCCTCTCTCGCTCTCCCTGAGTCACAGAACCTCGCCCGAGACCTTAGTTCCCAAATAAAGCCTTTGACTGCTAAAATTTTTTAGCCTCTGACTCCTATCTTTACCCTGCCTTACGCCTGACCCTAACAACTTGAGCCTAATGGTATACCCAAGGTTGTCCTCAGTAAGATTACTATAGTCTTTTAGTCGCTTTTGTCTTTTTATCACATGCCATAAGGTCTTCAACTCTAAACAGAAAATAATTTTAACCAAGACAGCCATGAACTTTGTTCCACTGAAGTCTAGTTGCCATAAGTACTTCTTTTATTTTGTAGTATCCTTTGTGAAACTGTTTCTCCCAAGTAAAACCAAGGCATAGGACAAATAAATGAAAATCTAAAATTGAGACTAAACTTGAAATACATGACTAAATCAAGCAGGATCTTCATGAGACATAATGATATTTGCTCAATTCAAAGGATTGGAGAGTTGCAAAAAGGGTTAGATTTAAAATGAAACCTATTATGGATTAAGAAGATGACTCAATCTAGGTTGTTGTTTTTTTCTTTTTTTTAACCAAGACTTGCATTACACCTTAAATAAATCAGAGTTTAGAAAAATACTTGTTGGTGATAATGAGAACTGATAATAAATTTCATCAGTATGAGTAAAAATCTAGTAAAACTGAAAATTCTTTCAACTGTCCAAACCAATCACTGAAGTAAATTATAAAATCATCTGAATGCAACAAAGTATTTAAATGCCTAAAATCTCCCAAACAGATTTAAACTATGAAAAACATTTGCTTTTATTGTTCCTTTTTCTTATTTATGTCCTAGTTACCTACAAATTATTATCATTCTTTATATAACTGCTGGCTGATAGTCCAAACAAAGAGAGCCTTCTAAAATCTCCATTAAGTTATATGAACAGCTTATTTTTATGTTGAATACAGGTATCAAAGTTCAAAGTTTTTTCTTTATCCCCCTTTTCAGATTTATTTTCTAGTATAATACTCAGTTGCTAAGCCCTGTGGAAGTCTTTCAGAATCTAAGTTGGTTAAATAGCCTTTTTTTACAATAATATTTCACTTAAGGCAATAGTTTGGGAACACCAAAACATTTGAATACCAAGAAAGGTTATAACAGGAAAAAACGTAATCATTTTAAAAAGCGTGTATAAATAGCTCACCTCATCTGATTAAACTCTCTAATCCATTAGTTAAACCAGTAACAAATCATTCTTTTCAAAGTAGCTGTTGTGCTTAGAAATACACTGGAAATAAAAATTCCAGTTAGAGAAAGCATTCCTTGCAAATGTATATGTTTAATTTTGTTGGAATGGAAGGAAGGACGCTTATTCACCTCTATCCAAAGAAGGGAAAGAGTGAATGGCTGGCATTGTTAACCTCTAACAAATAGTATGTTAAAAATATAGTTCCTGACTTCAAAGAACTTTTAGACTAGATGGAAAAAATGGATCACAGATATATTAAATAATTAAAGAAAAATCTTTTTCTAAAATGTTTTTTCCTACTGAGATCTTCCCCATCTTCTTGAATATTAAAAACCATTTTTTCTTTTTCAATGGAAAAAAAAAAGAGACCTGGCAAATAGCAATATTTGAAACTGAAAGTAAGGTCCAGCTGAAATGCTATTTTGCTATAGTCTAATAGATTAAAAAAGCCAATGTGGTTTTAAATTATTAGCATGATTTACAAGTAAAATTCTCTAATACAGAACCCCAGAAATCAGCACATACAGGATCAAATCTGCACTATAAGTAAAAGCACTTGGCCACTTAAAAAATCAAGAAAATAAAGCAGGTGGCAGGTACTTGTTATAGTGTGCAGACTGGACTATGACCAAATGATAGTTTAAATATAACTTTTGTTGAATACACATCTAATGAACATGTGGAAATGGAAGAAACTCAGAAACCACAGTTATTTCCATTTTAAATGAGGATGATAGTTCTGCACCACCAGCTGTTTACAGTTCACTGAATGAGGTTCTAGTTGATAGGAGATAATTACCTCTTCCCTACAGGAGGCAAGTGTTTCTCATTCTGCAGACACCTCTGATGAATGGTCATGGGAGTATGAGACTAAGACAGCATGCCAAGATCAGTTTGGTTTTTAATGATCTCTTTAAACACTTGATTTTCTATTTTTTCCTATTTAAGTGTAGGAAAATGTGTACCTTGAAATATGCAGGATTAAGTCACCGGCTATTATTTTGCTTTTACAAGACACTTTAACCTTAGAAGGAAAGCTGAATGATTATACACAGAAAGTATACCATCAATAGTTTTAGAAAAGGATGGGAACAGCTTTCAACTTGAAGCGTTATAAAGTTACTTACTAATTCATTGTTTTCCCCAAGACTATTCTAAGTTCCCTGTCAGTTAACAATATGCCCATTATCCCAGTCATTTCAACTCTTTCCCCCACTTGGAAAGGCGTCTTAATTTTACCTTCCCAGTCTCTCTCAAATTTATCTCTTCACTTCCAATGCAAACTGCCACATACCTCCATTTTCTCACCTGCAGATGGTCCTCATCTCCTAAATGGTCTCCTTGCTTCGAGTCTCTTCCAATACTAATCCACTTCAGCCAAAATAATACCTTCAGATTAACAGCATCACTCTCATTATGCCACTCTTATGTGTAAAAAACCTTTCAAAAGCAAGTTGTGACTCCAAAATAGAAAAAGCTGATGGCGTTTTAAGCAAAATGCCAAAATTTAAAAAGTAAATCAACACTGTTCTTACAAACATGTAAGACTGGGTATGCATATTAATAAGAGCTAGAAGAGGGGCGCCTGGGTGGCTTGGTCGGTTAAGCATCCGACTTCAGCTCAGGTCATGATCTCGTGGCTCCTAAGTTCGAGCCCCGTGTCGGGCTCTGTGCTGACATCTCAGAGTCTGGAGCCTGCTTCAGATTCTGTGTCTTTCTCTCTCTCTGCTGCTCTCCCACTCTCTCTTTCTCTCTCTCTCAAAAAATTAAATAAACATTAATTTTTTTTTTTTTAAAAGAAAAGAGAACACAAAAGAACCCCGAAGAGAATAAATTTAAAAGGGTCTGGGACTTGGGGCTGTTTGTTGTTATAATGATGTTTATGCAACAAATAAAATCTTTCAGCAACCACTTGCTGCTTATGCATCATAAAGTGTTATTAACCTGCACCCAAGGACCTCTGCAATCTGGCTCCCAAACGTACCTTTTCAGTTTATTTTCCATCCCACCTGTTCATACTACCTAAAACCTCAGACAAACTAAAATATCTCATTTCTCATTGGGTTCCTGTCCTCCTCTTTCCCAGCTATGGACCATTACTCATACACTCCAACTAGTATACTCTTTTCCATTTCTATGTGTCTAAATCCTATCTAGTTATCCTTTTCAGCTCAATTCAAATAGTATGTTTTCCACAAAGCTATTCCTGATAACTTTTCCACAAAGCTTATTCCTGACAAGCTATTCCTGAGCATTTCATCTGTATGTGTCACATAAAATGCAGCACTTCCTACTTTGCATTGTAGTGTGTGTGTGTGTGTGTGTGTGTGTGTGTGTGTGTGTGCCCGCACATACACGTGCATGTGCATGTGTATATGTGTGTGTGATAAGAATTAGCTCCCTTAAGGCAGGGACTTTGTTTTAGCCATCTTTGCACTGCAGACATAACATAGCATCTTGGGGCGCCTGGATGGCACAGTCGGTTAAGCGTCCGGCTTCAGCCAGGTCACGATCTCGCGGTCCGTGAGTTCGAGCCCCGCGTCAGGCTCTGGGCTGATGGCTCGGAGACTGGAGCCTGTTTCCGATTCTGTGTCTCCCTCTCTCTCTGCCCCTCCCCCGTTCATGCTCTGTCTCTCTCTGTCCCAAAAATAAATAAAAACGTTGAAAAAAAAATTAAAAAAAAAAAAACATTGCATCTTTCTGAATAAATATGAAAAATGAGTAAATACTTTAAAAAAGCAAAGGGCTATGAAGACTAAAAACCAACAGCAACTCTTAGTCTTATTTATTATGATTTTCCTTCTTTTTTCACTCGTGTTTATTTCTTTACCTAATTCCTTACCTGAAGATATGTTATTCTCCGTTGGACCAGCTCTGTCAGATCTTTGGCCTCTTTTTCCCGCCAATCACCTGCTCCATCTGTTTGACTGAGGTAGTATAGATCCGTCATTATAGACCTATTAAAACAAACAACATTTGGAGGTCTGACTTATTTGTACTTCCTCACAGGATTACACAAAGTCATAAGAAGAGAGTCAAATTCTTCAGAGATTGATGCTCACAGTGATACTGGTTCTCATCCTTGATTTTCTATTAAGACTGTTAAACTCAGCAATTAGTCCCTCACATCCAAGATTCACTCCTATAGTAAATCTTCACTGTTGAGAAAAACATACTATTTTTCTCCAGGTCAGTCAGCTGCACTTATTTCCCAACACAGAGCACTACGAAGATCAAGGGGAAATGGAAAACCATAGCAAAGAAATAGGTCGATTAAGATAAGGGAGAGAAATAAGTTGGTGCCAGGATTTGAAGACTACATTTTTGTTCTGTCATTTCCTTCCTCCTCTTAAATTATCTCTTCATACATAAACACTCTGAGTGGTTGGAATAAAAGATAAGAGGAAAATTCTGACATAACCCTTTTTTTTCAATGTTTATTTATTTGAGAAGAGAGAGACTACCTGAGCCACCCAGGTGCCCCTGACATAACTCTTAAACAATGATCCAAACTAAGGCTCAGCTACCATTTTTCTGTAAAGGGACAGATAATAAATATTTCAGGATTTGTGGGCCTCTATTGCCTTTGTAGCAGGAAAGCCACCATAGACAATATGCAAATGAATGCATGTGCCTGTTTTCCCATAAAACTTTATTCACAAAAGCAGCCTATGGGCCAAATTTGGACCTTTGGGAGGTGCTTAGGTCATGAGGGTGGAACCCTCATGAATGGGATTAGTGCTCTTATAAAACACCCCACAGAACTCCCTAGGTCCTCCTACCATGTGAGGACAGATGGAGAGGGCACTGTTCATGAATAAGAAAACAGGTCCTCACCAGACACCAAATGTGCCAGCACCTTGATTTTGGACTTCCCAGGCTCCAGAACTGTGAGAGATAAATTTTTATTGTTTATAAATTACAGCCTTTGGTATTTTTGTTATAGCAGCCTGAACAGACTAAGACATTGCTATTTATGCTATAATGACTCTGAGAGTTGTTTCAGAGATTTTACCTTGTGTATGAAGAGTACCTACTAATAATTCTACAACCAAGAGAAAGTACTCATTGGGCATGGGTGCTAGGAATACATGGTACTGAAGGCCAGTCAGAAATATGATCCAGTAGCCAGTGCCTTACAGCACACTGAAGAAGGGGACTGATCAGTAAGAACTCATTTAACAGATAATGAAACCAGCCCACAACAATTGTGATTTACCCAGGAGTACATGGCATAGCCTCAGTTTTGTTATTCCCGGTTCTTAACTAGATGGTAAAGTACTTAATAACACGGTAAAGCATTTAATAACAAAGCACTGGCACCCCACAGGAAAAACTAAATTGTTATTTACTACCACAGAAAAGCATTAGAACTACACAAAATTAACAGAGAATACTTAATAATACCTAGTGTCTTGAATAAAGCAACACTATTATGAATATACAAATAAAGATTAAAAATCATAGCCATAGTTTAGAATACATCTAACTAATAGTGGAACAGCTTTGCACAATGCTTTGGAACAAAAGGGTCATCTGTGAAGCATTTTAGGCATTTGCTCAATGTATCAACATCAGCGATGCACAGGGCATTCCACAGCTTGACTATTTCCTTTTTGACCAGGGCAACAGTCAAATATGTAATGTTTTTTTTAATATTTATTATGCTCACCTAAGATTCTAAGCATTTTCAAAAAATTTTATTAAAGAGTAGTTGTAATAGGGGCGCCTGGGTGGCGCAGTCGGTTAAGCGTCCGACTTCAGCCAGGTCACGATCTCGCGGTCTGTGAGTTCGAGCCCCGCGTCAGGCTCTGGGCTGATGGCTCAGAGCCTGGAGCCTGTTTCCAATTCTGTCTCCCTCTCTCTCTGCCCCTCCCCCGTTCATGCTCTGTCTCTCTCTGTCCCAAAAATAAATAAACTTTGACAAAAAAATTTTTTTTAAGAATAAAAAAAATAAAGAGTAGTTGTAATGGGAAAAACCAAACCTACAATTTACTGCCTCCTTAACAAATTAACTTAGTCTTACACAATGGACAGAAGGTCAACTTTTAAGTTTTTTCAGATTATAAAACAGGCCCCTCTGGATTATTATGTAGCTTACAGTATTCTTTTATAGTTTTACTTTTACTAGGGGAAAAGTCACCACCTATATGAAATTGTATGAGTTGATCGTGGAAACATATAAGAAATCTTGGACTATAATGGTGTTGCAGGGCTCAGCTGGAAGTTTATTTAAATTATTTTCTCAATAACCTCTTCCTCATCACTCTCATCATGCTCATTATATTTTCCACTTTATAGGTTTCATTATATCCAAATGTGGTCCTTTGCTTTTTCCTGCCTTTCAGCTATGAGTGATCACAAAACCTGTTGTAAGCCTCAACTTTAAATAGGAGCACTCTTTGTGGAGATGTAGTACAGTGGGATAAATAACCAGTCTATCAGCAAATGCCAGTTGCAGGAAAAAAGGAAATTCAATATGCTTTCCATGGCTTTAACATTAAACCTACACATATCAATAGACAAATAGCACTACATTTCATTGACAATCATATGGCCTCAAGAGGGTAAAAACTACATTAGGTCTAATTTGGAGAGGAGAATTCTCTGAAACATCAAAATTGGCATGTTTATGCTTTCACATCATAGTAATCAAGCCATTCCTTAATCAGTGGGAATAAAAGCTAATTTGTGTCTTTTAATAAATTAGAAAACATAAAAATGTTTTTACCAAGTTATATCAGTATTAAGTCTTGGCAATTTATTTACATCCATCCCAATCTCTGTCAAGAAAGTGCGATAACCAAGCTCACACAGAACTAGAGGGCCATATACCCCCCCCCAAAAAAAAGTACACTAATTTTTTATAATAACACAGTCAGTCTCAATATAAGTTGGTCTATTCCAGGAGTCAACTAAAATTAAACTTGATTTTTAAATCTTTTTTTCTTGAGGCACCTGGTGGCTCAGTTGGTGGAGTGTCTGACTTCAGCTCAGGTCATGATCTCGCACTCCATGAGCTCTAGCCCCACATCAGGCTCTGTGCTAACAGCTCAGAGCCTGGAGCCCACTTTGGATTCGGTGCCTCCCTCTCTGCCCCCCGCCCCACACCCCACTTGCACTCTATTTTTTTCTCTCTCTCAAAAATAAATAAACATTAAAAAAAAATTTTTAATCTTTTTTTCTGGGCCTTCCCATTAGAGACCATGTAAGGAAGATAAGCCCAGGAAACAATCTTAAATGTATTTATTTTTAAAATTTTATTTAAATCCAAGCTAGTTAATATATAGTGTAATAATGATTTCAAGAGTAGAATTTAGTGATTCATCACTTACATATGATACCCAGTGTTCATCCCAACAAGTGCTCTCCTTAATGCCCATCACCCATTTAGCCCATTCCCCCACCGGACACCCCTCTAGCAACCTTCAGTTTGTTCTCTGTATTTTTTTTTTTTTCAACGTTTATTTATTTTTGGGACAGAGAGAGACAGAGCATGAACGGGGGAGGGGCAGAGAGAGAGGGAGACACAGAATCGGAAACAGGCTCCAGGCTCTGAGCCATCAGCCCAGAGCCCGACGTGGGGCTCGAACTCCCGGACCGCGAGATCGTGACCTGGCTGAAGTCGGACGCTTAACCGACTAGCCACCCAGGTGCCCCTGTTCTCTGTATTTAAGAGCCTCTTATGATTTCCCCCCTCTCTTTTTTTTTATCTTATTTTTACCTTTCCCCTATGTTCATCTGTTTTGTTTATTAAATTCCACACATGAGTGAGATTGTGTGGTATTTATCTTTCTCTGACTGACTTATTTCGCTTAGCATAATACACTCTAGTTCCATCCACATTGTTGCAAATGTCAATTTCATTCTTTTTGATCGCCAAGTACTATTCATATATATATATATATATATATATATATATATATATATACACACACACACACACACACACACACACACCACATCTTCTTTATCCATTCATCAGTCAATGGACATTTGGGCTCTTTCCACACTTTGGCTATTGTTGATAGTGCTGCTATAAACACTGGGGTGCATGTGCCTCTTCAAAACAGCACTCTTGTTTCCTTTGGGTAAATACCTAGTAGTGCAATTGCTGGGTCGTAGGGTAGTTCTATTTTTAATTTTTTGAGGAATCTCCATACTGTTTTCCAGAGTGGCTGCACCAGTTTGCATTCCTACCAGCAGTGCAAGTGTTCCCCTTTCTCTGCAACCTCGCCAACATCTGTTGTTTCCGGAGTTGTTAATGTTAGCCATTCTGACAGGTGTGAGTGAGGTGGCATCTCATTGTGGTTTTGATTTGTATTTCCTTGATGATGAGTGGAAATAATCTTAAATTTAGTTCTTTGCTGATTCAATAATGTTTAGAAATTACCATCCTGCAAAATTTGTCATCTTTTAGCCAAAGATATGAGAATAAGCAAACAAAGTATATAGATCATTACTGGGAAATATGGTGACTAAAATCCATTCTATAGAAATGATTGGTTTTCAGTGACTCTACTCTTAAATCAAATCTCCTAGAAGTGTCCTAAAAGCTGGAAATCTGGCCATCTTGGTTTTGACTATGAACTGACTGATCAAGAAATCTAGGAGATGAATGATGAATCTTAAGGCCTGGTATGAGGGCAGGTCAAAGCCTGGGAAATGCAAAACCAGGCAAAAGACCAGCAGAATAGTGCTAGTCACTTGTGGGTGGAGTATAGATGCCTGAGAATAACCAGTAGACTAGAACAGAATCTGTGATTCTGAGAGCAAGCCAGTTATGACAGGTGTCAAAACCTCTATTTCAAAAGCTGGGCTACATTTACATTCTTTGTATTTTTAGTTAATTTTCCTATTTCTATATTTTGATATCCCCAAAACTATTCTTAAATGTTTGAGTTTGTCTCAATTATGCTAATGAAGAACCACAAGTATTTTGTTTATACTGGATTCA